TATACATTAATTTAAATGGAAAAGACTAAAACTCGAAAATAAATAACTACTTACTAGACCGCTCTAGCTTTATTGCCTGAGTTGTTACAAAATGGAGTCTTGCTCTTATCACTTTAAGTCGTTTACTATAGAGCCGTCAATATGGGATTGGCCCGTTGGACCAGCCTAGTCCAACTCGTAATTTAGTAGGGTTGGGTTAAATTTTTTGGAGCCCATTTAAAAATGAGGCTTTTAAGCCTCGCCCGAGTAAGCCCGTGGCCTGTTAGGCTTGATTGAGTCTGGGTTGGGTCGGCCCGTGGGCCTAATAAAAATATTTATTTAAAATATATAAAATGTATACCGTCTCTAGCGATGGAAAGTCAGAATTGGATCTTTAGTTAGAGGAACCAAAGCTTGATCTTGAGAAGTTTCAAGAGATGTATTGGAAGGACCATTCTAGAAAATATCCTGATCTTTCAGTGATGGTGCGTGATGTACTTAGTATTCCTATTACCACTGTAGCGTCGGGATCAATATTTAGCATTGGTGGGCGTGTTTTGACAAAGTACAGAAGTTGCATCCATCGTGAAAATATCCAAATACTTGTTACTACTTGAAATTGGTTGTACGGCTTTTCCCAAACTCAAACTGGTAATATTTGTTTTATGTGAATTTGAATATTATTAGTTTTTAAATTTTATTATTTTAATATTTAACTAATTAATATTGCATATGAATTGTAGACGTAGATGAAAGTGAAGATGTTAAGACAACCTTATCACAAGCAGATTCAAATGTGTTTGAAGAAGATGATGTGTTGGATACCCCATAAGCGTCATGGACGTTCTCTTGAATAGTTTGTTTTGAGTTTTGACTTTTAGTGAATAAATATAGTCTTGTCTTTTACTTTTTTAGTGTTTATTGTGATGTATTGGAACAATATAAAAAGTTATTAAGTTTTGCTGAAATTTTGCAATAAGATATTTTTTAATTTTTAAATATTTATCTTTTTTAGGTTAGAACATAAAGAAAAAATATAAAATTATATTTTAAAAGATGTTGGGCCGGCCCGTGGGGGCTCGGGCCCACATAAGGTTGGAATGGGCTACTATTATAAGGCCCATCAAAATATTGGGCTAGCCCAGCCCAACCCATCAATTGCTAAAGCCCACATAAGATGGGCTGGGCTAACTCGATCCAGCCCATATTGACCGCTCTAGTTTACTACAAACATTTGCTATCAACTTTTCACAATCAGTCATGTAATATTGAAATTTTAAATTCTGATGTTATGTTTCTCTAAACAAACCAATATGTAACTTGTACTAAACATTACTATTTGATATAGTTTCTTTTTATTACTTTCTGTATAACACAAATATAGAAAGAAAAAAAAAATGATGTATTTAATCAAACACTATTATATTCTTCACGGAGTATAAACAATAACAACAACAACAATAACCCAGTATAATCTCACTAGTGAGGTCTGGGGAGGGTAGTATGTCCGCAGACCTTACCTCTACCCTGGGTAGAGAGGCTGTTTCCGATAGACCCTCGGCTCCCTCCCTCCAAGAACTCCCCACCTTGCTCTTGGGTGACTCGAACTCACAACCTCTTGGTTGGAAGTGGAGGGTGCTCACCAATCCACTCTTGTCCCTTCACGGAGTATAGAGTTAGATAATTAATTAATCCATTAGTTTCTTTTTAATCAACTAGTCTTAAGGTACGCAATCAACTAGTCTTAGGGTACGCGCTTTGCGCGTGTACCCTATTTCAGTGAATATATAACTTTTAAAAATAATGTGACTATTATTAAATAAAATATTTGAGTTATTGAACAAAAATTAAAAATGTTAGCTCTTAATAATGAATGTTGATCCAATTTAGCTAATTCACTAAATAAAGAAATCTTGTCCAATAAAAGTCTGTTATGCCATATTCTTATTTATGAGAACTTTGGGAATATATTATGGAAATTATTATTATTTTGTTACCTAATACTGAAAATAAGTAACATTTTAATACTATAATATAACTAACTTTGCTCAACTTTTTAATTTCTGCCACCGCTGGTGCTCTTCTTATGGAAACAAATTTGTGTAACTTAAAAGTTTGATCAACTTGAAAAATAACTTTACTAACATGAGATTTTGAAAAAGAATTAAATTGGATTCTTTTGCTAATTAATTAATTCAAAGAGTTGATTATTTATTCTTAACATTAAAAGAATAATTTATTTATTTATTGCATTGGGAATTTTTAATTTTATAATAATAGAGAAATTATAGATAATTTTTTATCTTCTTATGTAATATTTAAAAAATATATTTAAAATTTAAAATATTTCTTAAGTATAAACATCTCACTAGCCCTTAAAATTCTAAGTTATTACCTATAAAAAGAATGAATACCTAAACATATTTCGAAGGGAATTGTCGTAAGAAAATAGAAGGAAAAGAAAACATATTCCTAGTTCTCCCATACTATATTTATTTTGAAATTCTAAATATTAAACTTTCTACTAATTTTAAAAGGAAAGATTTCATAACCAAAATTTTAATTATGAATCTTATATATTTCAAATAAGGAAAGATTTAATAAATAATATTTTATTTTATTTGAAAGTTCTACATATTAGGAAACTATTTAAATTACTATTTTGTCCAACGTGAACTCCATTTTAAAAGGGTTAAAAAGGCGAAATGGAGTTCAGCGTGAACTACATATTAGGAAACTATTTAAATTACTATAAAACTACATCGCTTAGCAGTTATTTGCTCTAGTCTAGTCTAGTATATATAGTAACTTATAAGGTCGGTATTTGCTAAAGGCTAGACGATAACGTTCTCCTTACTGCTGAACACGAGATGCTAACTTGCCAATTAAGGGAATGTGTTTATTAGCTTTCTCCGTTAAAAATTTTAAAGATTGGTAAGACATTGAAATTGCACCTTCCTGGCCTCACACCCATACCTATACTCCAACCGTCTCCTTATCTATCATGATTCTCTTGTACACGCTATTTAAAAAAAATTAATTAGGATAAAATTTTAACTATTTTACCCTTATTTATGTTTTACTCCCTTCGCTCCACAATAAGTGATCAATTTACTTTTTCATTTTTGTTCAAAATAAGTGTCCATTTATGTAATCAAGAAAAAATTTAATTTGTTTTTACTCTTTTACCCTTATGTGCATATCCCTAAAAAGTTTTCTTACTCCTCACATTAAATCTAATATAACTATGTGACCAATATTTAATTAAGGGTAGTTTAATCATACTAGGTATTTTTGTATAAAATTTAGTATTTTCTTAATGGACGTGCCTAAAGTAAAATGGTCACTTATTGTGGATCGGAGAGAGTAATATTTAATCTTTCTTCATTGGTATTTGAACAAAGTTATCTATAATTTAGTTGTTTGTAGTCTTCAATAATAATTATTACTAAGGGTAAAAGAGGAAAAAGATAATCAATTTTGTGTTGAACTTCTAAAGTGACAAATAATTTGAGACAGTTATTTTTAGTAACCACGACTGATAATATGAGACAAAGGAGTATTACATAACTCATAATCATTTAAATATTTTAATGTTGGGACCTGGGAAAAATCACACACATTATTACCTTTGTATCCAATTGGCGAGCTTTTTTCTGATTCTGTCGCCACCCTTGGTAACTTCCTCCAAATTGTCGGGACACAGTAACACCAGCAAAACTTTATGATGGCCGAAGTAATAGTGTTATATCATGAATTTCAAGTTTGAGTCATTATCTTTTCAATCAGATCTATTACTATATTTTTTATATATATTACATCATAATCAAATATCATTATCAATTCATAACATTTTGCTACTACTAGATTTCGAGTGTATAAAGCGACAGATGAGTTCCATAATAATTGGAAAGCAAAGGGGGACGTGTTATTTCGAGGAAGTTTCTTGTTTTTTAATTTTTTGTTTACTCCCTCATTTCACAGGATTTACTGTATTGCATTTTTGTTTTTTCCGTTGGTTTGTCTGATCGTTGTATGCGTTTGCTGTAACACCTATACATAAGTGCATGTGAATTAGAATTTAGATTCTTTACAATCATGATGTTTGCTATTATTTGGATGTTGAGTTCTTTTTTCTTACTAGTCGCACATCATGTGTTTCTTTATAATTTAAATGTAATTGTATGATCATATCAGAGTCGTCAAAGACCAACAAAAAAAAAAGAGTAAAACAAAATATACGGAGCTTATAGCCCAAAGCGTATATTGTAGTGTGCATTTTAATTATTATATATATATATATATA